TTCCTCGAGCCTGAATGGGCTCTGAGTCAATAGGCCATGAGGCCTAAGGCCAAATGGGCTATTGACTCAGAGGCCGTGAGGGCGAGAGGAATAATTTGTTTTAGTAAAAGCCAACTAATTTGTCAAAAATATTGAGACAAAACAAATTTAGCAAGTTAAAGCTAGACTTTGATTCTTTTTTTGCCGCCAAAAAGCCGGCGCTTTTCGTTACAAGTGGGCTATAACATGTAGCCTAGTAGTAGCTCAACTAATTGGAATACAGCATTGATAATGGACCACTAGTTGGATTTTACTAAATGACAATTATTCCTCGAACCCTAATGGGTTCTCAGAGTCAATAGTCAATGGGCTATTGACTTAGAGGCCATGAGTGCAAGAGAAATGATCTTTTTAGTGAAATCCAACTAGTAGGTCAAAAATATCGAGACAAAACAACTTTAGCTAGCAAAACGTGATACAGCCGCCATTGTTTTGGTTTGCAAAGCCGGCGCTTTTCGCTACTAGTGGGCTATAACATAAAAAAAATTATACCCTAGTAGTAGCTCAACCAATCAGAACACAGCATTGATAATAGACCACTAGTTGGATTTTACCAATAATAAATTTATATACTTCATTCTTTAAGGCACAAATTGGCATTACTCAAAAACATTCATTAAATGTTTTGGTGATTTATTCTGTGTAGATTAAGTTAACGATGACTAAAAATATGAAATTATGTTGAACTTTGTGTGCTTGTTGGCCTAAATATGGATAAGTAATTTAAAAGACTGAGTACAAAGCAACTAAGACTGGTAGTCAGGGAGCAAGTGTTCTCCGGTGGGAAGTTAGTGCTTAAAGCAGGCCACTGGTCTAGATATGTTGTAGGGATGTTAATGAACATGGGTATGAAATCGACCGAACTTGGGTATGAATGGACTTGGGTATGAATTGTCATGGGTACAAAACAGCCGTAAACTCATTTTATATTCAATGCAAATCATGAACGTTTGGGGCTGTGTAGAGATGATAATTTATGTACACAGTATGTGTACTTCTGAAAATTTTTTGTTGTCTTACTCTAGGCTGAGTGCACCAAAAACCAAGACTGTGGCGACAAAAAGTTCTGCAGCAAATTCAGACTTCAGTGTCAACAATGCATCGATGGCTCAGGATGTTTCAGCAGTGATCAGTGTTGTGGAGATAAAGTCTGCAAGCTTGGCTGGTGCAAGTCTGAACCAAGTAAATATCAGTAGTTAGTATACAATGTACCACACAATGTGATCGAAAAGTGCTTTTTGTGAATGTTGATTGGTTAAGCCAGGGGTGATTAGCCAGGTTCTATTCACCTCATGCAGCCAGTACACAGGAAATTAAGTTTTCTGAGCATTTGATAAATAAATTAAAGTACTTTGTTAGTCCATTCAGTTGTTCAGCTTGTGCAAAGGGGTAAAATCTTTATAATAAAACAAAAACAATATTATTTTTCATCTCAGTATTAGTGAAAGTGATAGTAACCAGTGAGCAGAGGTTTCTTCCCAGCATGGCTTTTAGAATTAACAAAGTTGTATGTGTCACTGTCAGCCGTGTAGTTGGTTTTTTAATGCCTCATTAAGTGGTAGATATTTACCTCACTGCTTTGTGGTTTGTAGTTGAATGATAATTTTGTCATGCACTCAAGACTACAATTGTCTAGGGCTATAGTCATTTTAGGTCTCGTCTTACAACTTTTGACTTTCTTCACTGCAGATTTTTTTGAATTTAGCAATGTTATTATTTGTTTTATAATCATGTTTTTAGAGCGCACTGGCCTTGCCAAGTCCCCGTGTGATGATGACAGCCAATGCAATGCAGGTCTGTTCTGTTCATACAATGTATTTGATGGTGGAAAGTGTGAAAAACTTAGAAAGGAGGGAGAATCATGCACCATGGGAATATTTGACAGACGCCGCCCTAGATGCATGGAAGGTCTGAGTTGCAAACGAACAAGGTAGGTACACATAGATCAAGTTTTTAGAAGCGCAGTTAGCCTAAATCCTGGGTTAACCCTGAGAGAGCTAATATATTGCTCCACAAAGCTGCAAAGTTTTGCAGATGTGTCTATGGTGGGGACATCAACTTGCCCCCAATCATACAAACGTCTGTAAAATTCCACGATTTTGCGGAGCTATATCTTTCAAGTTTTCATCAAACCAGTTTCAAACTTGGTAACTTAACTGATTTTGTGGGTTTATTTCCAGCCATGTTGACTTATTTTTGCTATGGTTCCAGTCAAAAGTTGAATAAACTGGGGAAGGGTCTTTTCTTTTAAGGATTATAATACTTTGTTTATCTTCTGTAGTGGTTTTGCAGTATTCTTCAAATACAAGTGTTTGAAGGAGGGCAGTGTGGAGGATACATCACCCGCTGAGTCATCATTTGATTGGTTCAACAACTGGAAGAAATAGACTCCAGCCGAAGCGTCTTGAAAGACAGCTCATTAATTTAACAGAAAATACTTTATACTCCAGCAAGAGCGTCTTCAAAGAAAGCTCATTAATTTAGCAGAAAATTCATTAAAGTGTATAGGATACCTGTAGATTTTTGAGTTTTATTTAAGAGAACATTATATACTTAATGTCAGATCCGGAGGGAAACAGTTAGTTTTGTTTTCCCGAGAGTCAGGGGTTGAGGGAAAAAAAAACATCTTTTACCTTTTAAAAAATTATGGCCTCTCTAAGAGTAAGATGTAAAATTTGTCTTGTCATCTCCATCACGTTTAGAGGCAGCCGATAATTTTGAAAACTGGTGAACTGTAAGATTAAGATAAGGATTTTTGCGTATTTGTGTGTAGAATACAACAATAAAATCAGAAACTCCTCACTAGTGTGTGAAAAGAAATTAAAGTTGAGCCTCTTTGAGTCTCTTTTTTACTGAAAATAGAGTCCTGAACAATGTCGCGTGCTTTNCTTTTAAGGATTATAATACTTTGTTTATCTTCTGTAGTGGTTTTGCAGTATTCTTCAAATACAAGTGTTTGAAGGAGGGCAGTGTGGAGGATACATCACCCGCTGAGTCATCATTTGATTGGTTCAACAACTGGAAGAAATAGACTCCAGCCGAAGCGTCTTGAAAGACAGCTCATTAATTTAACAGAAAATACTTTATACTCCAGCAAGAGCGTCTTCAAAGAAAGCTCATTAATTTAGCAGAAAATTCATTAAAGTGTATAGGATACCTGTAGATTTTTGAGTTTTATTTAAGAGAACATTATATACTTAATGTCAGATCCGGAGGGAAACAGTTAGTTTTGTTTTCCCGAGAGTCAGGGGTTGAGGGAAAAAAAAACATCTTTTACCTTTTAAAAAATTATGGCCTCTCTAAGAGTAAGATGTAAAATTTGTCTTGTCATCTCCATCACGTTTAGAGGCAGCCGATAATTTTGAAAACTGGTGAACTGTAAGATTAAGATAAGGATTTTTGCGTATTTGTGTGTAGAATACAACAATAAAATCAGAAACTCCTCACTAGTGTGTGAAAAGAAATTAAAGTTGAGCCTCTTTGAGTCTCTTTTTTACTGAAAATAGAGTCCTGAACAATGTCGCGTGCTTTCTGTACTTGACGGCAGATCGTCCCATCAGCGAGGGAGTTGGTGAGGGGGTTCGTTAACTCGCCTCGGAGTCTCGAACTATTTTATCTCCCTGTCAACTGGGAACGAATAATTTGGGATACGACCTTATTAACTGGTGAAATGCTTTGAAATGTCAAAGACTGTGGTTATGGCTAGTTGTATAGAAATACTATAATTATGTTGGCACGGTCTTTTCAGTCAGTTGTGAGCTGTTTATGGTTGTAGTAGTATTCTGCAATCTCGATCCCATCTCCTGGACTTCTTATAAGAGGTGGGTTAGGAAAGGAATGTAAATTAGTCCCGTGAATAAAGTCTTTTTACCGGCCAATTTTCCAAACTAAGTCGGAGCAGCTGATTACCGAATGAGCTAACCGGCTAACCAATTATCCTAAAACGTACATCAAACATTAAAGAGGTGGGTATTAAAAGGATAATTAAAAGGGAAATTGGCTGGTCTTAAACAATGACTGCGCGCGATAAGCATTCATTTAAAAACTAAATGAAATGGTTTTATTGTTTTAATCCTCGGTCCAAGTTAGACTTCGTGTCGACCAAACCGCATACGACAGAGTTTATCTTGCAAGGGTAACAAGCGAACCCATTGAGATCGGAGTAACACAAACTCAGACCACCCACCCATAACTTCCGTGTGTTTTATTGGGACCATTTACTTCTCGCTTTGGTAAAAAGGTCATGACCAAATTCTACCTGTCAGGTCACTTTCTTTTCATTTATTTCATTGTTTATTTTGTCTTACTATAATCTGAAGTCAACACAGGCAATACATATCTAAGAGACATGGCCCTCCAACAGCACTAGTTAAGTTTCTAATATTTTTCTATCGAGGACTCTAAAAATATATAGAGCTTTTACAATACTGTGAAATCCTGTCGCCCCTAAAGATTTTGTTCTAGGGGTGTTGACTACATATTCAGTGTCATTAATGGTCATTCCTTCTTTATTATCTAAACGAATTAATAAATAATAGCGCCTCCATTAGCAAATTGCATTAGACCACGTGTTAGCCTGTATT